AACCCTAAACCCTGAAACCCACAAACCCTAAGCTCCTACTTGATTGTATATCTTCATTAACTGAATGCACCAAGCATTCTCGTTTCACCTTCGACGCACCAGACTCAAGTCCGCTTTACCCTAAAACCCTAAACCCCTAATTTGGGGCATTTGGAGCACCGGCCTTCGGAGCGGTAGCTACAGCGGAAGGTTTGTCAACCTCATATTGAACTACACGGTTTTGAGATTTTAGGGGTTTTCAGGTTGTTTAGGGTTTTAAGGGTGTTTTAGGGGTCTTGGAGGTTTAGAGGTTTAGGGGTTTCGGGGCTTAGGGGTTTAGGGTCAAGATTTCTTACAGAATCTAACTGACATGGGTTGCTCATTAGAGACTATTCTAGGGGCTACACTAAACTACAAGAGGGGCCCGCCCCCTATGTGCACTAAAAAGGATTCCTTAACTAGGCTAATATTGACAGTAAAGGGGTTTAGGGTGTAGGTTTTTTTACGGGCTGCCCTGCATCCACAGACACCGCAACCAATCTGACTCTCAGAACCATAAGGGCATTTATAAAGGCATATATGTACCCCTGATATACCTACATAGTAACAGCCCACTCCCAATATGATACCATTACATCAGCCTAAACCCTAAATCCTGAATACGTATTAGGGTCTGGCGCGGCGAATCAGCAGGTCAACCGGCCCAGACCGAGCCTGTCAAAATCTGCCAACATGGTTTCATGGTTTCGCAGAATTTGCGGTCCATTTTGGGGGGTCCTTACAATGAGAGACACCGTATTTGGGGGGGCATATAAGCTGAAGCTTCGCAGCTTAGGGTTTGGGCGGTTTAGGAATTGGGGTGTCCGAGGCAACGTGCGTGACAGGAGGCGATACGCCCACGTGCAGACTGGCAAGCTTTTTTTCCAACGCGCAGAGGATTGGAAACATCCCTGCATTTTCGGAATTTGCCAGGCAGTGAGCCATTAGAACTTCAAGTTCTTCAAGACTAGACATTGTCACAGATGGCAGAGCTTCAGAAGAAAGAAGCTCACTGCTTCACACACAGGGCCCCGGACTCAAGAGGGAACCTTGCAGCACACAGCTCCCAAACAGCTGTTGAGCGCAAAAGTGTTAGGCCTACTTCTTAGTCTCGCAGACCCTGGAGGTTTACGGGGGGTTTTGGCTTTGGGGCTCAATGCAAATGCCTTGGACGCATGCCGCTATGATGAGCTGTCTTTGCTTCGCTTGCCTTTTTTGTCCTCCAGAGAACTACAAACGCAATTCCGCGCCTAAGCCCTGGTGAAACGGCACGTAGACCTAGACCTAGAATAGAGAGGCTGCCATGGAAGAGGATCCACTTAACTGCAGCCCATTTGATACTTCGCGGCTGCTTGCGCAAGGCGCCTTCTTCTTCTTCTCCTTTTTGTGCTTGTGCTTCTTGCTTTTCTTCACCTTGTCATGCTTCTCCTTTTTCTTTTTGTCTGACTTGCCTTTACCTTCTTTCTCCTTCTCCTTCTGGCCCACGTGCTCTTTTGGTGCGTGCTCCGCTGGGAGATTCCTGAGTCGCTTGCCCAGGCCACAGCTGATGGCTTCGCAGCTGGTCTGAGACATTCACCGAGAAGATACAACGAACATCAACCATTCACAGAAAGCAATGCAACAATGCAGGCAAAAGGCCCAATCGCAGATCCTTTGCGCCCCGTTAGCAGTGCAAGTTCCTTGTCCTGCGCAGACAAGGGCTGGGGACAAAGCATGCAGAAGTTGAACGCAGGCATTTGGGCCCAGCAGCACCGTGCTATATGGGCCATAGCCTAAACTCCTAGCATCCCCCCTCGTAACCCCTATACTACTCCCCCATATAGCTACCCTTTAAAGAGTTTAGACCCTAGACCCTATATAGCCCCTGTTTAAGGAGTTCAGGCTATAGCTCCTATACAAGGGCCCGTGGCTCCTCCACAGCATCCCGCTTGACGGCAGATGGTGGCTCCGCGCCGGCTGCCGCTGCCCCGGCACGCCATGAACGGGAGGAGTAGTCCTGACAAGCCCTTCAGGCCGCATCTCTGAAGAGGTGGCCAGTAACAGAAACAATACTACTGTAAAGAATAATGATAATAATAAGAAGAATATAAACAATACAAGCAACAACAACAACAACAACAAAATCATGAGTTAAAGCAACGCGAACAGCATTGATTTCAGGAATGGTTAGCCTTTCTTTTGAAGCATTCGCGACCTCTGGAGCCAAGGCTCTCGCAATTCCAGCACCTTCTCCTTGGATCCACGCGTATCCTCGCTCGGGTCATGGCCGACGAAAAAGCTTGTCTTCAACAGTCAGGCAGGTATGACAGATTGTCAACGCAAAATCGAACGTGAACACATTAGTAGCGTTATGATTATGTTTTTGTTATGACTATCATCACTATCATTGCTATCATCACTATTGTACTTCATATTACGATCGTTACTGTGATTACTCTTCTCTCCCTTCCCAGAACTTAAACCCTAGACCCTAAGCCCTAAAGACAGTTCATGCCGGTCCAAGCCGGCAAGCTGGGGCTTCTCTGGCGGAGGTGCTGCCCCGAAGGCCTGACCATGGAGGATTATATGGGGGTTTCCCAAAATTAGGGGTACCTTTTTGGGGGTCCCTATAATAAGGACTATAGTATATTGGGGTCTATATTGGGGTACCTTAATTTTGGGAAACTACCATATGGGATTCTATATAGGGGTAAATATTTTGAAGCTTCGAGCATGGGCCTGGCCCATCCACGGCGCCATCTTTTGGCCCCGTCTCCGGCCCCCGAAGTCCATGGGTTCTCGGCCCTCACACAAAGCTGGAGGCTACTCAGCTGGATTCCCAAGTTGAGGATTATAGTCTCCCTTATGTAGATAGCATATGTGGTATATGGGGATCTTGTTCTAATATACCCAAAGCCATATACTGTCTACTTAAGGGAGGCTATAAACCCTAAACCCTAACCCTACATACTAGTTTCCATTTTCTTTTCCTCTATCCCTATATAACCCCGTTTAATTCTATCTACTTAAGGGGGACTATCCTCTAAACCCTAAAGCCTACACCCTAAAACCCTA